GTGAAATCCAGATCCTGTCCCAAGTTTATCTCTTTCTAACATAACATCATAGAGAACTGCAGCTAACTTCCAAATATGTCTCTGAAAATGTGCAGATCCTGCCTTCCAAATGAAGACTATTATTTTCAATATTGGATTGAGTTCTAGACCAGTACATGATTGAGACGAATAATTGGCCATCTTTAAGAAAAATACAAGAGTCATTATAATGTCTGTTTTTGATTCTCTGTCCCACAAGGCCTAAAAACTTGAGGTGAGGCAGCTTGTCCCATCTGGGATACAGCCAAGCAAAGGTGGGTCAGGAACATATGTCCAATACAGCCAGACTGTCCCTCCTATAGTCTCTGTTAGACATTTTGTCTCTGTACTTGCTCCCATGAGTATTTTGTTACTCCTTCTAAGAAGGACCAAAGCACCCACACTTTGGTCTCCCTTCTTCTTGAACTTCATGTGGTCTGTGAGTTGTACATTAGGTATTGTGAACTTTTGGGCTAATATCCACTTATCAGTGAGTTCATACCCTGTGTGTTCTTTTGTGGTTGAGTATCCTCACTCAGGATGATATTTTCCAGTTCCATCCATTTGCCTAAGAATTTCATGAATTCATTGTTTTTAATAGCTGAGTAGTAGTCCATTATGTAAATGTACCTCATTTTCTGTATCCATTCCTCTGCTGAAGGACATCTGGGTTCTTTTTAGCTTCTAGCTATTATAAACAACCCATTTTTAATAGGGTTATTTAGTTGTTTGAAGTCTAATTTCTTGAGTTCTTTGTATATTTTGGATATTAATGCTCTCAGATGTAGGACTGGTAAAGATCTTTTCCCAATCTGTTGGTTGCTGCTTTGTCCTATTGACAGTGTCCTTTGCTTTACAGAAGCTTTGCAGTTTTATGAGGTCCCATTTGTAAATTCTTGATCTTAGAGCATAAGCCTTTGGAGTTCTGTTCAGGAACTTTTTCCCTGTGCCCATGTGTTTGAGGTTTTTCCCCAGTTTCTCTTCTATTAGTTTCAGTGTATCTGTTTTTTTTTTTTTTTTGTGGTGGTCCTTGATCCACTTGGACTTGAGCTTTGTACAAGGAGATAAGAATGGATCAATTTGCATTCTTCTACATACTGACCTCCAGTTGAACCAGCACCATTTGTTGAAAATGCTGGGTTTTTTTTTTCCGTTGGATGGTCTTAGCTCCTTTGCCAAAGATCAAGTGACTGTAGGTATGTGGATTCATTTCTGGGTCTTCAATTCTATTCCCTTGATCTTCCTGCCTGTTTCTGTACCAATACCATGCAGGTTTTTAAAAATCATTATTGCTCTGTATGACAAGAACTTCAAGTCTCTAAAGACAGAAATTGAAGAAGTCCTCAAAAGATAAAAAGATATCCTGTGCTCACAAATCAGCAGGATTAACAACATATGGCCACCTTACCAAAAGCAATCTACAGAATTGATGCAATCCCCAACAAAATTCCAACACAATTCTTCACAGAGATAGACAGAGCAGTTCTCAAATTTATTTGGAACAACAAAAAACTCAGGATAGTGAAAACTATTCTCAACAATAAGAGAATTTCTGGGAGAATCACCATCCCTGACCTCAAAGTGTACTACAGAACAATTGTGATAAAAACCAAATGGTACTGGTCCAGAGACAGGCAAGTAAATCAATGGAATAGAATGGAAAACCCAGAATTAAACCCACAAACCCACAAATTACCTCATCTTTGACAAAGAATCCAAAACCATCCAGTGGAAAAAAGATTGTATATTCAACAAATGATGCTGGGTCAAGTGGCAGTTCAGCAGGGAGAAAAATACAAATTGATCGGTTCTTATCTCCTTGTACAAAACTCAAGTCAAAGAGGTCAAGGCCCTTCACACAAAACCAGATACACTGAATCTAATAGAAGAGAAAGTGGAAAAAAGCCTTGAACATATTGGCAAAGGGAAAATTTTCCTGAACAGAACACCAATGGCCCAGGCTCTAATATCAACAATTCACAAATGGGATCTCAGAAAATTGAAAAGCTTCTGTAAGGAAAAGGACACTGTCATCAGGTCAAAATAGCAACCTGCAGATTTGAAAAAGATCTTTACCAATCCTACATCCAATAGAAGGGTAATACCCAATATATACAAACAACTCAAGAAGTTAGTCTCCAGAGAACCAAATAATCCTATTAAAAATGGAGTAGAGAGCTAAACAAAGAATTCTCAACTGAGGAATCTCAAATGGCTGAGAAGCACCTAAAGAAATGTTCATCATCCTTAGTCATCAGGGAAATGCAAATAAAAAAAAAAAGCCCTGAGACTTCTCCTCACTCCAGAATGGCAAAGATCAAAAACTCAAGTGAGAGTAGATACTGATGAGGATGTGGAGAAAGAGGAATACTCCTCCATTGCTGGTGGGATTGTAAGCTGGTAAAGCACTCTGGAAATCAGTCTGGCAGTTCCTCAGAAAATTGGGCATAGTAGCACCTGAGGACCCAGCTATACCACTCCTGGACATATACTCAAAAGATGCTCCAACATACAACAAAGGCACATGCTCCACTGTGTTCATAGCAGCCTTATTTATAATAGCCAGAAGTTGGAAAGAACACAGATGTTCTTCAATAGAGAAATGGGTACAGAAAATGTGGTACATTTGCACAATGGAGTACTACTCAGCTATTAAAAACAATGACTTCATGAAATTCTTAGGCAAATGGATGGGATTAGAAAATATCACCCTGAGCAAGGTAACAAAACAACACACACAGTATGTAGATATTAGGAAAAAAGCTCAGAATACCCACAATACAACTCAGAGAACACATGAAGCTCAAGAAGAAGAAAGACCAAAGTGTCGGTTCTTCAGTACTAGTTAGAAGGGGGAACAAAATACTCACTGGAGTTAGAGGGTAGGAGGGAATTTGGAGGAAGACAGGAAGGGTAGGGGAAAGGGGGGCAGGATCAGGTGTGGGAGGAGACAGGGGAGATGAACAGAGGATCAGGAAATTGAAGAGAGGTGTGTAGCAATGGGTTATGGGAAACTGGGGGTAGGTACCAGAAAGTCCCAGATGCTAGGAAAGAAATAGGCTCCCAAGACCCATTGGGGATGACATTAGCTGAAATAACCAAAAAGTGGGAGAAAGAACCCGTAGAGACAGAGGTTAGGCTCTGCACCTGGTTAAGGCATGGGGCCCCACATTCATCTCAAAAATATTAACCCAGAATTGCTCCTGTCTAAGGTAAATCCAGAGACTTCCCCACCCGGGGGATCTATTCCGTATGCAGCCAGCAAACCCAGACACTATAGCTGATGCCAACAAGTGATTGCTGACAGGAACCTTATATAGCTGTCTCTTGAGAGGCTCTGCCAGACCCTTCCCAATACATATGCAGATGCTTGCGGCCAAGTATTGGACTGAGCACAATGGAGTGAAGAGTCAGCCTCCATCCACATTTCCAGTTCTTTTGACATGGTATTACCACCCAGTATACAAAAAGCATAGAATATCACAACAAGACACTCAATTTACACAATCTATAGGTCTGCAAAAGTACTAAAAATATTTAAACTGACAAATTCATAATTCAACCAAAGTATGAAACAAATTCTTATTCATAGTAACTAACACAATAAACTCTATAGCAAGATTTTACTATAAGCCAGTGACATACCAACTACTACAAAAAATGGAGTTAAAGATTCCACTTAAGTCAGTGTGGATATTAAGAACAAAAATATCCGGGCGGTGGTGGCACACGCCTTTAATCCCAGCACTTGGGAGGCAGAGGCAGGCGGATTTCTGAGTTCGAGGCCAGCCTGGTCTACCAAGTGAGTTCCAGGACAGCCAGGGCTACACAGAGAAACCCTGTCTCGAAAAACCAAAAAAAAAAAAAAAAAAAAGAACAAAAATATAAGGTAGTTAAAAAAAACACATCAATTCAATGCTCCATCTGTGTCACTAATTTTAATCTAACCAAGTTACATAGATGACCATAAGAGACATACATCTGTGTTTTTGCAATGTAATCCAAGACAGGACTGTATCAAAACATACCAACTAGACAAAAATGAAAAATATAAGGTATATACTAACATTAGCAATAAAATTCTCTCTCATAAATGACACCTAATTTCTTTCATTCCTTTAAGTAAAATGTCTGAAATTGTTTTCAAATTTCTTTATGAGGTGTGAACAAACATCAACCAAAGAAATGTTTCATCAAATGGCACTGACTGCCAGGGACTGATTATCAAGCAAGACTTCAGCATTATAACTCAGTGAATGTCTTTGCAGGTAATGATATTGGACAGGATGGGTGTTGAATCTCTATAATTCAAGGCATTATTGGATTCAGCATGATGACATGTTCTGGAGATGACAGGAATCACAGGAAGTTTGAGGAGATTTTGTAAACATGACTAGCATGCAACAGTATAAGAACAACAGACAGAATGTTCAACTTCTGGCTCAATGTTGCATGTGAGATTGTCCTTCCCTACATTGGACAATGGAAGACATAATGTCCCATGATTAAACTCAAAGTCCTAATGATATGGAACACTTATGACCATCTCAACTTTTGTCTTACTATGGAAATTCTGATGAAATCCATTGTGTTCATACATATGGCTTGTTGACACCTGGTCTGGTCCATGCTGTCCAGAAGGAAACAGTCCCTGTAAATATTTATGCCATAGATATGAATGAAATCATAGCACCTGAGGATGGAGAACATGATCTTCACAACATGTTTTCAGAAAAGTTTTGATCAAAACTTTTTAGACCTCAGATGTAGAGCTTGAGGCCAGAATTTTCCCAATGTATCCAGGGAGCATGACATAAGATGAATGGAAAGGAATTGTTGAATATAATTAGGTAGATAGCCTTAAAACAGACACATAGGTGTAGATGTGTGTGTGTGTGTGTGTGTGTGTGTGTGTGTATGTGTGTGATGTTTGTCTGCATAAAACAGATTTCACAACTACTCCATCTTAGATCCTAGCAGACATGAAGAAGCTGTGTGGTTTCACTATTTCCTCTTTGCTCCTGAAGTTTTCTCTCATCTTGTGCTGTTTAACTGAACACAGTTGCTTTTGGAGGATAAAGAATAGTGAAGATAATTATGGAGATTTGAGAAGTGACTGTGGTTTTATGCTTTTGGCAATGGAGGAAGCTATTGAAGACAATTATTATAGTCAAATTTTTGATTTTAGGTAAGTCATTAAATTTGTTTCCTGCTTCAATGTCATGAATTAGAAATATTTAGCTGTATACACAAACTGTAGGGATTTGTTCTGTTCTTCCCCTGTAACTTTAGGAACTACTGAAAATTAATTATTACATCAATGACTATTTTAATACTTTGAAATGTGTCACAGTTTAGTTTAGTTTTACTACGTTGGGCTCCAGTTCACAATACTGAACAATGAGAGAGACTAGATTCTGTTGAGTGTTTGTGGATATCATGTGTTGAAAGATGTCTCTTCATCTACTTTGAATTCACAATTATCACCTTTGGAAATAGCTCAATATGAAGAGACTACAACACTGCCTATATTCTATTGTCTGCCAATGATTCTTATATGAGCATGCATCTAAATGCCTTCATAAAAAGGTTATCAATTTTTGGTCTCCAAAAATTGGACATACATTCAGATATTGAAATATTTGTGTATGTGTGGGCCTTCTCTACCAGACTACATGAATGACATTATATATAATATATAATTATACATTACATTACACACATTGTGATTACATTATATCACAAGTTATATCATGAATATATATTATATATATAATATATAATATATAATATATATATATAACTTGTGATATAATGTAATATAACATTATATATATATATTTTGCTTTTTAAAATAGTCTTTAAATGAGTCCCTCCTGCCATTCTGGAGTCGACACTGAATGTGTAAAAAGACTGCCAGGTTTCATATTCTGTTACCAGAATAATCTTTTGGTCCAATTATGCAAATGCCCAGTCACATATTAGGTTTATTTTCAGTATAAGATACATGGTCAATATATCTATTCATTATTGAATAAATATAACATTAGAGAAAATTTAGGAGAAGAAATATATTTCTTGTGTATAAGAACCTGTTCTTAATGTAGCTACATACTTCTGAGATCCCAAGTGTGAGATGTTATCATTTGTGCCTGCTGATCATGAGGGAAGGAGTGTTGAAATCACTCACATTTTAGTTAATCAATATGCCTGGGACTACTTTTTTTTTTTTTCTGTGAACCGAGGTTTCCTGTGCTTTTCTGTCTTTGACTCTTCATTCCATCTCTTATTCAATGTTCATGTCTTTGGGATTTAATGAATATATTTCCCAATTGTTAGCCACAGTACACTGTGTACACTTTGATAGTGATGGTGGCTTCACATTTTTATTCTTCTGTGTTAGGTCACTAGGAATTTCATTTCTGATGCATTCTGTACTATCCTACACCTCATTAGAAAAATAGTGGAAATTCTCATTGGTGACACTTTTATAAGGCATAATTAGGTTTAAAATTATAAATATATGAACTGGACCAATGCACTTTTCGGATTTCAAAAGAAAAACTTAGCTCCAAACACTCCAATTGAAAAATGCAAATTTCATCAAGAGAGGACGTTTGCCATTTTTACTTCTGATGAGAGGTAATCATTAATAGTAGTAGATAATCTGCCAGCTGTGCAGGGCCAGATGAACACATTTCATATGGAGAGAAGATTTCTGTGTTCAGATATCACTTAAAGGTTCTCAAAGAATTACAAAGACTGAGGTGTTAAGAGAAATATGATACCTTTTTTTTACAAAATGGACATAGTAACAACACACTAAAAGGTAACATTAAATTGATGAGTAAAAGAGCAAAAAGGTTAATATTCTGGTTATGTGGTATATTGTATCATAATGTATATTATGAAATGGATAAATCAATTTAAATAAAATATATCTTAAAATAATTATTCTGTTTGTGGAATATTAACAGTTGAAAATATTAACGTCATGTTCTACAAACATCATGGAAATATTATTGATACCTTTTTCACTGTGCATGAAACTAGTTTTTGCAATTTTAAATTTGTAAAGTTTTCTTACTGATAAAATAATTTCTTTGCTAGAAACACTGATAATCATTTTAAGTAAACTGATTGTTAGACAATGTACACAGATATATAATATGTCCTGAATACTCTCACACTATATCATATAAGGGCTTTCGAATATAATTTTTAATGATTCCTTTTTAATATTTTATGCTCTTTTAATAAATTTCCAAAGAATATAGTGTATGTTTTGAAACAATTTAGGACTCAATGTTAGATATAGGAGTCTCAGTTGTAGATATTATTAAATATACATTAATGATATTTTTAGGTTACGAAACGATATGAATGTAAAAGTTCAACAAATGTTTGATGTATTACTTGATTCTAAAAATACTCAATATTATTAATATGTTTGATGTATAAATTGCATGTAGATAATAAAACATTTTAAGGAGAATGTGTTATATCTTTCATATGTGGTTTAAGCCATGCTTTTTTATTTATCTGTGGAATTACAACTCTAAAGTTATTTTATAGCAGTCTTAATCAATAGGATTGGAATATAGTTCAAGGATGACAGAGATAAAATAACCTTATAGAATTTTCACGAATACAAAATTTATCATATCATAGTGCCCTACATCTATGAATTCTTAAATTGTATGGAGCTCTAAAGATCTCTAATTTATGAGGCTTATTTCAAGACATTTACACAGAAATTTAGCATGTCTCATATTACAAACATTATTACAATTGAAATTTTATGTTTTAAACACCTCCCTTAATCATCACTATGCCTTGTTCTAGAATACCAGCAAGAAAATATGAGTTTTTTCTGGTTATGTTTTTTGCTACTGAGGAGATCAACAACAATCCTTATCTTTTACCCAACATGTCTTTGATGGTCTCAATCGTTTTTGGCCAATGTGAAGATACATTGGGAATTCTGGATGAAGTATATTTACAACAAAACAATAGTTTGAATTTTATTAATTATATCTGTGGATTAGAGCCAAGGTGTGATGTCGACCTTACAGGACCATCATGGAAAACATCCTTAAAACTAGCAATTTATTCTAGGACACCAAAGGTAAGAAGGTATAACACTGGAAGATTTAGCAACATTTAAATTTCATTTGCATGTGTCTACAACAAAACTTGGAGAGCATGCATTTATGTGTGTGCTGCTACACACACACACACACACACATACACCATATATATATTTCCATATATATATATATGGAAAACTGTTTTCTAGAACATTCAGACCTGTCAGAAATAGTCTAGAGTCTAATAGGAGTAATACATGATATTTATATTATAATCTTATTATCCTTAACAGGAGTTCTGAAGTTGAGTAACATTACCTGTATGTAAGTCCAAATATCCTAAAAGTCATATTCCTCATGTGGATGCTTCATCTTCTCTTCTGCATCCTTTAGGTTTTCTTTGGACCATTTAATCCTAACCTAAGTGACCATGACCAGTTGCCCTATGTCCATCAGATAGCCACCAAGGACACATGTTTGTCCCATGGCATGGTCTCCTTGATGCTTCATTTTAGTTGGACTTGGATAGGACTGGTCATCTCAGATGATGACCAGGGTATTCAGTTTCTCTCAGACATGAGAGAAGAAATGCAAAGGCATGGGATCTGTTTAGCTTTTGTGAATGTGATCCCAGAAACCATGCAAATATACATGACAAGGGCTAAGATATATGATAAACAGATTATGACATCAACAGCAAGGGTTGTTATCATTTATGGTGAAATGAACTCTACTTTAGAAGTCAGCTTTAGAAGATGGGCATATTTAGGTGCACAGAGAATCTGGATCACAACCTCACAATGGGATGTCACCACAAATAAAAAAGATTTCAGCCTTGATTTCTTTCATGGAACTGTCACTTTTGCACACCACAAAGGTGAGATTGCTAAATTTAGGAATTTTTTGCAAACAATGAACACTGACAAATACCCAGCAGCCATTTCTGACTCTGTCCTGGGGTGGAATTATTTTAATTGTTCAATCTCTAAGAACAGCAATAAAATGGATACTTTTACTTTCATCAACACATTAGAATGGACAACACTGCACAAATATGATAGGGTCCTGAGTGATGAAGGTTACAATTTGTATAATGCGATTTATGCTGTGGCCCACACCTACCATGAACTCATTCTTCAACAAGTAGAGTCTCAGAAAATTGCAGGATTCAAGGGAGTATTCGTTGACTGTCAACAGGTAAAGTTTCTTACATTTTATTATGTTTAGATAAATCAATGTGATCTTTTAAATGGACCCTGAGAAACAACTGTACATTTGTTAGAGATTATTCTCTCAGTGGAAAGATTTCTACACTACAAAACTCCCTAATGAATCTTTTATATGGATGAATATCATACACAAGGACAACATTTAAATGAAAACAATACATTTTTATGAATATCAGGGAGTTTTGTTAACATGTGTCTCAACATTTCATCAAATGAATTCAAAATTTAAAATAGGAGCCAAGAGTTTTATCATAAAAGTCTTAAGTGATGACTAGGCTAGAATATTTTTCTAAAGAATAATTTCTCAAGAATAGGTACGTGAGCTGGTACACGCCTTTAATCCTAGCACTTGGGGGGCAGATGCAGGCGGATTTCTGAGTTCGAGGCCACCTTGGTCTACAGAGTGGGTTCCAGGACAGCCAGGGCTACACAGAGAAACCTTGTCTCGAAAAAAAACAAACCAAAACAAACAAACAACAACAACAACAAAAAACCACTAGGTACATGAGCTGGGATTAATACTTATTCATTTAAGCTAACAATTATTTACAAAACCATAAATGACTAAGACTGCACATTTTATTAAGTTTGGGTGTTTTCATACATGTATACTGTATATACATGAAACATCCAGAACCATTTTTAATTGTCACAACTTGCAGACATTCAGACTTCCACTTCATTCGCACATACATTGCTTCCTTTTTTTACAAAGTATTTTTGACAAACATGTGCACACTACACACACACACAAACACACACCATGTTACTTGATATCTGGTAATAATTTTTTCTAGCACATTTTGTCATCGAACATTATTATTAAATATATTAATTTTTAATTATCCATAAGATATATTGTATTTTACTACACAGGATTACGTTAATACAGCCATCTTTTCTGAAAGTCTTTAAAAAAAATTAGAGAAAATTCTCAATTTGGCATTCTCTTTATTGATATGCATATGTAAGCATCTAATGATGCATCTCCTTTAGGTGGATTCCATGCTGAAAACCAGAGTATTTACTAACCCTGTTGGAGAACTGGTGAACATGAATCACAGGGAAAATCAATGTGCAGACTATGACATTTTCATCATTTGGAATTTTCCACAAGGCCTTGGATTAAAAGTGAAAATAGGAAGCTATTTTCCTTGTTTCCCACAGAGTAAGCAACTTCACATATCTGAAGACTTGGAGTGGGCCACAGGAGGAACATCAGTGGGTATACCACAATTTTTATTTTTTTCAGAATATCTAAATTGTAAAATACGAGGCACTGAAGTAATAGCTCTGTGGTTAAGACCAATTGCTTCTTTTCCAAAAACCATCCTCCGTTCCAATTACCAAAATTTGATAGCTCCCAATTTCATGTAAATCTGGTCATAGGGATCAAAGGCCTCTGGATTTCATGTTCAGTTGCACCCACACGCCTCTTCAACCACATGACACAGGAAGATATTTTTTAAATGTACAGTAATATATATATATACACATATATATAATTAAAATTTTGTAACTATATATAAATCACAGAATCTTCTGATTCTGTTTGAGCATATTTATAGTCTAATTAACTACAGCACATATTTATTAACAGAAATCTTTCTCCAGATTCAAAGTTTTTTTTAATTTATATAATTTAATTGGTTATTTTATTTATTTACATTTTAAATATCACCAGCATTCCCAGTTTTCCCTTCTCTGTGGAGGATTCCCTAATCTGGCATCAGTTGGAGGGGAGGCCCTTGATCCTATGGAGGCTTGGTGCCCCAGCATAGGGAAAGACCAGGGTGGTGAGGTGGGAGTGAGTGGGTGGATAGGGGAGCTCGCTCATAGAGGTAGGAGGTCGATGGGATGGGGGGGGTTCAAGGTTTTCTTTTAAACTTAGGAAAACTTCATTAATTTTATGAGAGTCTTATATAACATATTTTGTTCATACTCATCAAACAACTCGTCCTTGATTTGCCTACCTTCTCTCTCCATACAACTCAATGTTCTTATTTTTTTTATTTATAAATCATTATAGAGAAACTGATGCCAAATAAACATTCCTTTTTGATTAATCAGTTGAGGAAGGAAAAATTTAAAATTGCTACAGCCTGAGTGTTACATATATAATATTACATGATGTATAACTGTATTGTGACATTCAATGAATTGCATGGTAATATAAAATAAAAATGTCCCTGAAATCTTTAAGTAATGCTGGTTATCAGAGGAATATTTATAGCCATATCTTTTAATGTCCCATATATGGACATATGGGACATTATATGTCCATATTATTATATGGGACATATATGGATATATGGGTCATTATACATATGATGTATACATGAACTATACACGTACACACACACACCATATATATATGTTGCCTCAGGTTCCCACCTCCATGTGTAATGTGACATGTACTGCTGGATTCAGGAAACTTTATCAGAAAGAAACAGCAGACTGCTGTTTTGATTGTGTCCAGTGCCCAGAAAATGAGGTTTCCAATGAAACAGGTACGTCTTGCATGCAGAAGAAAAATTGCTGAATTCGAATAGCTTGTCATTCCAAACTAGAAACATGATATGGCCAAGATGGAAACTGAAGACCTAAACTATTGTGCTTCAGAACTTAATCAGTTAAATAATATGAACTTCTTTTGGACCTAGCAAATAATCTGCAATATATTCTACAAACAATACATTTCTTTCACAGTATGATGGTTACTGATTTTATATTAAGACCAGATGCTCAGGGTAACAGTTATTGTTTAATGAAATATATTGTAAGAGCTTAGATGGCTTAAAGGATTAAGCATTTGTTGTCATAGAATTAGAACAAGAGAAAAAATTTCAAGAATGCAACAAGAGAGTGGATAGTGCTTAGCATCAATCACAGCCTAGCTAAGGAAAGAGGGATGACTATGAATATCCATAACCTTCATGCCATATAGCTTTAAATGTGTAGCTGGGAAGAAAGAGAACTTACCACAACGAGAGAGACATGGATTTGTCTATGAGGCATACAGCTTCAAGAATGAAAATATTACTTTATTCAAACAGTGTTTGCATGAAGAATTGTATTCTCTATTGCCTATGTGTAGATTTAGACAAAGGGCACAACTCTCAAAGCAAACAAAGTACATAATGTATTTCATCACCTGGCATCAATAACTTTGTCTCCACACTACTCTTGTCTGTGAGTAGTGAATTTATGGTTTGAGGAATTTAATAATCTGAGATTATGCATATTATTCATCATATTTTTCCTTCTGTTTTGTTTCATAAATAATGGTTTTTTCTTTTCCATTCCCTATGATGCTGTTTTGTTCCATCACAAACCATGGGTTAATAGAGAGCAATCCTAAGCCAGTGGTCCCTATGGCAATAATGAATGAAATAGATGCTCAAAACCAAATTATGTGTTGATATATCTTATGAATAATACAAATACACTATTATTGCCTACATATTTATGATATCTTATAAGGGTTTATTGTTGTTCACCAGCAGATATGGAACAGTGTGTGAGGTGTCCAGATGATAAGTATGCCAACTTAGAGCAAACCCACTGCCTCCAAAGAGCTGTATCATTTCTGGCTTATGAAGATCCAGTGGGGATGGCTCTAGCCTGCATGGCACTGTTCTTCTCGGCCATCACAGTTCTAGTACTAGTCACTTTTGTGAAGCACAAGAATACTCCTATTGTGAAGGCCAATAACCGCATTCTCAGCTACATCCTGCTCGTCTCCCTCATCTTCTGTTTTCTGTGTTCATTGCTCTTCATTGGACATCCCAACCAGGCTACCTGCATCCTGCAGCAAACCACATTTGGAGTATTTTTCACAGTGGCTATTTCTACAGTGTTGGCCAAAACTATAACTGTGGTCATGGCTTTCAAGCTCACTACTCCAGGAAATAAGATGAGAGGGATGCTGGTAACAGGGGGACCTAACTTGGTCATTCCGATTTGTACCCTAATCCAACTTGTTCTCTGTGGAATTTGGTTGGTAACATCTCCTCCCTTTATTGACAGAGATATACAGTCTGAACATGGGAAGACTGTCATTATTTGCAACAAAGGCTCTGTCATTGCTTTCCACTTTGTCCTGGGATATTTGGGTTCCTTGGCTCTGGGGAGCTTCGTTGTGGCTTTCTTGGCTAGGAACCTTCCTGACAGATTCAATGAAGCCAAGTTCCTAACATTCAGCATGTTGGTGTTCTACAGTATATGGATCACCTTCCTCCCTGTCTACCACAGCACAAGAGGGAAGACAATGGTAGTTGTGGAAGTCTTCTCCATCTTGGCTTCTAGTGCAGGGTTGCTAGGGTGTATCTTTGTCCAAAAGTGTTACATTATTTTATTTAGCCCAAATTCCAATTTTTTTCAGAATTAAAATGAGAAATTGATTTATCAAAAATGTGATACTTTAAAAATATTATATGATACTCAACATATCTGTTTTGCTTTGTCTTTACAAAAGTATTCCTAAATCATAAAAATAATTAAGTAATATATAAACATAGTACTTACACCATATGGTAGCCCTGACTAAAGTAATACCAATTAGTAAGTTTTGGTGGAAAATGGATTCTTTCAAGAACTCATAAACTTAAACATATTGAGAACAGGAAATCTCAATTGAGGACTGGCTACCATCACTTTGACTTGTAGATATGAGTGTAAAGAATGTTCCTAATTAGTGATTAATATAAGATGACCCTGCTCTTTGTGAACAGTGCCACCTGTAAGCAAGTTATTCTGGGAGTTATAAGAAAGAAGAGTGTAGATAGGATAGACATGAAAGCAGTACTCAGCACGATTCCGTGGAATTTGATTGTGTTCCTGCATCCTTGTTCTTTGGCTTCTTTTAATTGTGACCAATGTACATAGGGAAATAACACTTTTCTCATATATTCTTTTTGGCCATAGCCTTTTGTTACAGCAACAGAAGTGAATTGCCTCAACAACAAA